TTTAACAGACCTCTTCTAAAAAATTAGTAAATGATGATTACATCATGATTACATTTGTCATGGATAGTTGATAACTAGGAGATTTAAAATCTAGGTGATTTTTTTTTTTTATAGCAAATTTGAAACTCAATGTGAGAGGTAAAAGAAATTAGTATCTTACTATTGTACTGCCTTTTTTGTTTTTATGTGCTAGGAATTGAACCTAGGGCTTGGTGTATTCTAACACATGGTCTTCCATGTCATGTGGTACCACATCCTGTGGAATATTTATATTCTTGAAAAGTTCATTAAGTGGGTAATAGCTGCTCTAATTGGTTGGCATCCTATTAAAAAAAAGCTTTTTCATGATGTTTTAAATTGTAAGCATAATCAATTTAAATGTGGCCCACAGTCTATGAGGTAAGAATTAATATTTATTTATATAAATGGGCAAAAGAAATTGTATATATTTATGGTATACAACATTATGTGGTCTTTGTTTTGTTTTTTTAGACAGTCTTGCTGCATTCCAAGCCAGACTCTTAAGTCACTATGTAGCCCAGACCAGACTTGAACCCCCTTCCTCCTGTCTCAGCCTCCTAGAGTGCTGACATTACAGATGTGCACTGCCACACCCAATTTATTTGCTCTGATATATATATTCATTATGGAATGGCTAAATCAAATAAATAGTATATCCCATTACCTCATTTTTTTTTTTTTGTGATGAGAACATATAAATTACTCAGCAGTTTCCAAGATTACATTACATTGTTAGTAACTATAGTCTCCATGTTGTATGGTAAATTTGAACTTATTCTCCTTTTCTGAGATTTTGTGTCCTTTGACCATCTCCCCAGGAAATTACTATAATTTTTAAATGGCTAGGGAAAAATAAATAGTATTTCAGTGGTGCATAAACAGTATATGCAATTCTATTGTTATCATCCATAAATACAAAGTTTATTAGAACACAGCCACTCTCATTTACTTATATATTGTCTATGGCTGCTTTTTTTTTTTTTTTTTTTTTTTAGGGATCAAACTCCAGACCTTGTGCTTGAGAGGCAGGCGGCAACACCACTGAGCTAAATCCCAGCCCCTCAATCAATGGCTGCTTTTTGCACTACAATGGCACAACTGAAAAGTTGTGACAAACATCATATGGACAAACCATATGGCATGTAAAGCCTGAAATATTTATTAACTGGTGGCCCTGTATGGAAAAAGTGTGCTGGCCCATAGATTCCTAAGGGAACTGGACTTAAATGTAAGTGCATTTCTATGTCAAGTGGTTAACTCATTTTAGTAGTGTGATTAATAAAGGTATCATGTAATATATTTAAGTGTGGTTGTATGGATAAATAAAGCAAGATTATGAGGATTTGTCTTATGAAGATTTCACTTTTTATAGCATGGAGGAGTTGGATTCTGGTTTCTTACAAACTCTGCATTGCCTCTTTTTGCTGTATGAATTCAGACTTTGATCAATCCTTTAGATTTAGGGCTGCAGTTCCACTCCTGCTTTTAGGGTCTTCTATTCAGATTGCTAAAATTTTGAGGAAGAAAGCACCACTGGTGGGAAACCATTGTTTTGGTTTGAAAACTCACTAGAGTAGATAATTTTGAGCTGTACCTTTGACCTTACTGATTGCTCTTCACCAGTTCTTGGGATTATTTGTATATTTCAAGGTATAGCTGAGCCGGATGTGGTGGTGCGCACCTATGGTCCCAGTGTTCAGGAGACTTAGGCAGGAGGATTGCAAGTTAAAAGGCAACCTGGACTATACAGTGAAAGAGACCTTGTCTTAAGGGGAAAAAAGGGAAGACACAGTTAGATGGAAGCAGCCTTTTTCTTTTCAGCTTTGAGTTTATTGGTACATTTTAGGGATACAGTACAGTTACATTCATTGTTGGGATCTTGTACCTACGTCTACATGACAAGTCTTGATTCTCATTTTTTCCCCTTACCCCTGCCCTCCCTTTACCCCTTCTCCCCTCCCCATCTACAAACACTTTATTTTCATCTTTTCATTATCTCACATTTTTTTCTTTTCCCTTATTACCCTTCCCCTACCCATCCCACCTTCCTTACACCTTTAGCTCCTTTCTTGGAAGCAGCCTTTTAAAATAATGTTTTAAGCCTTTGGTGACTGGATCCTTGAAAGGCCTTTAAGGTGGTGAGATCTGGGGTGGCCTGTCTTGATTAGAACAGGGCTAGGATGTCATAAATTACAACATGGAATATGAAATAATTCATATTCTTAGATTAAGAGCCTGATTTAGGGCCGGGGATTTAGCTCAGTGGCACTGAGCCTGCTTGGCATGGCAAGGTCCTCAATTTGATAACCCCCCCAAAAAACCTGATTTAGCCAAGCGTGGTGGCACAAGCTTATAATTTAAGCATTTACAGGCAGCAGAGGCAGAAGTATCACAAGCTTGAGACCACCCTGGGCAATGCAGGAACTTCGCCAGACCCTATCTCAAAATAAAAAAGGGCTGAGGTGGGCCAGGGATTGGTGCTACTACCTGCCCCAAAAGCGCAAGGTCCTGAGTCCAATCCCTGGTACAAAAGAAAAGGGGGAAGGCAGGGTTTAACTTAGTGCTGTTCAGTCAGTCTCCCAGTACCACAAAAAACAACAAAAGAGCTTGTTGTAGGATTATATTTTTTAAAAAATAAGTACTTTTGAATAATTTTTTCATAGTTTCTGATTATATTCATTACTTTAAATGTATTATGTTTTAATAGCTCAAAAACAAGTCTACTTTGTATATGAAAGAAAATAGACAAAGTCAGGCTCAGATCTAAAATGTAGGCCAGTAACAGTCCTTTCATTAATTATCACTAACAGCAGTTCATAACCTTGAATTGTAACAAGTTGAACATGAAGGGAAATTGGAGTGTAGGGCTATTTCTAACCTTTAACACATCTTTGTGTTTCTTACATTTCTATAAAGGAGGAGAGTCATAGATATAATTCATAGCAGATAGGCTTTAACAGTCTTTATTTAGGGTTTTTTTGAGATAGTGTCTTGCTGTGTATTTAAGGGTATCATTGAACATGCAGTGATCCTCTTGCCTCAGCCTCCCGCATGCTAGGATTACTGGTGTGCACCACCACCCCTACCCAGTCTTAATACTCTTGCTCCCTGACCAAACCTTGGGGTTAGTTATTCCTTGTTTTGTGCTCTGCATGCCTACTACTACAGAGATCACGTTAAATGTGTTGCCTACCCTGCCTATTTCTTTTTTGTTTTTGTTTTTGGGTACCGTACCGGGAATTGAACTCGGGGTCCTTTTGCTTGCGAGGCTGGTGGCGGAACCACTGAGCTAAATCCCCGGCCCCCCTGCCTATTTCTAATGTTGGTTAAAATACACACTACTAAGAGATATTTTTGTAAGGAAGTTTAACAAGGAACTGTAATGCTTAGTTTCCTGAATGTAAATAAACCAGCACAAAGAACCCTAAGTAGGAGACAGGTAGGTATAGAACAACTCAGTATTCCAAAACATAATGCAGCTTTCATTCAGTTTTCTATAAACATTGACTTTAAAAAGCTGTTTTGCTTGTTTCTTCTATACCTACTGTCAGTTTCTTAAATTGCAGAGTTACTCATGTTTGTGTGGTGTTTGGGGAGGAAGTTACTTAGGAGTTTGTTTTTAATAAACACTTGAATATAAGGCAGAATTTTTGAATTGTAGATTTCTAACAGTATACAGACATATATATGATAGTTACTACCTTGTGATTTGCTTACTTTTACCTAGAAGGTATCCTTCTGTTTGGGTGGCAGAGTATTTTTAAAATTTAAAATAGTACATGGGTAAAAAGTAAAGTCACTTTTAATCTCGCTGTTAAACTCTTTGTGTAATGTCAGAAGTGAAAATTTCCCTAACACTATTTACACCTTGTTGGCATTTGTCCTGGCTTGTTTATATGGACATATCTATATGTGCATATGATTTCTATTTTTGCTTAGTAGTGAAAACAAAACAAATTATGCACACTGGTGACTAACTTGCTTTTTATCACTTATGTTATGGACCATTTTCCAGGTTAGTGTATGTAGATTTCTCTTCATCCTTTCTAATGGCTGCATATTCCACCATTATGGATGTACCGCATTTGTACAACCGGTTCCCTATTCATGGACCTACGGTTGTGTTAAATTTTTTGTTAGCATTATGATGGGTTAGAGCCTGTAATGAATGGTAAGGAAGTTAAGTAGATGACAGGACTACTACTTTGATGAAAAAAGTAGAAAAGGAACCTCCTTTGCCATAGTCACTAAATGAAATTGAATAAAAACACTGTCAAAAGTTGGGAGGATCAAAATTGATACTTTTTCTCTGATCTTTTTGCCATGTGTATATCTGAATTCTTTGTTTTTAAAGAAGAAACAGCATTGAAGCATTATTTGGGGGGAAAAACACACACACAAAATCCAGCAACTCAGCATTCATGAGCAACTCTATACTATACGAGTATGTGCCTGTGCAGTGGAAGGAAAACAATTTTGGTAAGGAATTAAAACTTTAGCTTTAAACTTCCAACAGGTTGATATTTATAATGAATGATAAATTTTTTAAAAAATCTTGTGTTGACAGAGCCTTTTTTAGTCACCCTTATCTTTGATATCTGTAATTTCAGTGTAAGTTTTCCCCCTTTTTCCTTAAAGAAAACTGAATTTGCAGCCAACAAAAATTAGATTCTCTGAGGTATGTTATTACTTCTGACTTATATTAAAATATCTGTTAACATTTATTAGAGATGTTTATGGGTCAGCTTTACCGGGACCAAGTTCACTAATTGCTGAGTTTTACATATTAACATATTACAGCAACATTCCTTTTTCTAGGTGTGTGTTGCATCCGTCTAGATGATTGAAAATGCGCATATATTTTGTTTCTAGAATTATATATGGGGGTTATCATTGGTAGCTTTTTGTTAAGCCTAAGCGAGATGGATGTCTGTTTAACTTCATTAACCAGTTTTTTTCCTGGCTTTTGCATTATGTAGGAAATATATCCTGGACAGTTCCAACCATCTCTCTGTCATCAGTTCATAGCCTTATCGGATAAAGAAGGAAAACTACTTCGCAACTATACCCAGAATATAGATACCTTGGAACAAGTTGCAGGAATACAAAGGATAATTCAATGTCATGGTTAGTAAACTTCAAAATGGCTTTCTGTAATCTAGTTTTAGGAAAAAGCAGGATTAGAAAGCAGGGTGCCAGCCAGGTGGAGGGGCAGGCTGATGCAAGAGGGTTGCAGAGAGTTCAGGATCAGTCTGGATGAATGAGTTTGAGGCCAATTTGGAATACATAGCAAGATCCTGTCTCAAAACAAAACAAACAACAAAGCTACGCTACAGTAATGAGGACATAAGCATTATTAATCATGTTATCTTGTTACATTAATTAACCTAAAGAAAAGTAGAATATAAAAGTAGTGAAACTGGAAGTATTGGCCTTGATGCTTAATTGGACACTATCAAACATTAATATACTTTTGATTTCAAAAGATGTTGCTATTGCCTTCCATGAATATTCTTTTACATAGTTATACATGGTATCTTTATTATGAAACCAAAGAACTGGATAGCTCAGATGGAAGAGGATTCAGTAACTTAGCCAGGTGTGGTGGCGCATGCCTGTAATCTCAGTCCTCAGGAGGCTGAGGCAGGAGGCTCTCTGCAATTTTGAGGCCAGTCCATACAACAGAGCAAGATGCTCTCAAAAAACGAAAAGATTCAGTAATTTAGATTTTCAGCCTAAAGTATGCATATTTTACATAACTAAATTGTTTTTAAACACAACTGTTAGCTAAGGTAACAGCTGGAGCCCTCCAATTGTACATTTTTAGCCCTGGAGGAGTTATTGAACAGAGTGGCTTTTTAACACCATTATACTGTGTCTCACAGTTGAGGATTGGATTCTCTATATATGTACTTAAATTCTTTATCTTCTAAATTTTCCTGTGGAGTCTTCTAAAATCTAAATGTTTTCTAGCTTTCCAGTATCAAATGTTATAACCCTTATGTTAGGTTCGGGGAACAAATAACTTCTTTTAATAAAGTATGCATATGTTGGCTATTTTTAGGTTCCTTTGCAACAGCATCTTGCCTGATTTGTAAATATAAAGTTGACTGTGAAGCTGTACGAGGAGATATTTTTAATCAGGTAATGTATCACCCATATTTTAGAAAATTGGGAACAGCTCTGATCTGTTTCTTCTTTTGCTTCCACCCCACCCCCCAGAAATACAGAAAGATCCAGGAAGAAGTTGTTAGTATTGAGAATTCTGGTGAACCACGAGATGCTTGGATATGTTAAGTAGAAAAATACTCCTCCTTAATGTCTCTTGAAATCATGAAATTGGCTCCTTAGTATCCAAGCCTAAAATAAAAAAAGCTGTATCATAAATGAGATGTTACTAGTTTTTTCCTTCCTTTCTCTTTCAGTATCTCTCATATGGAATCTCAAATTTATAATCCTTCAAAAGATTTTTAAAATGATGGTAAAAATATTTCATTGTCAAAAAATTCAGGAAAATAAAGCAGAAAATTAAACTCATATAGAAATAATGTCCTATATGCTTAGCTGCATAGTTAACCTATTATAATTAGAGAGGAAGATAGTACATTAATAGGGAATTGTGTACAAGTTACTGTTTTTAAGGATCAAGTCCCCATTGTGTGTATGTTCATTTGCCCCCTAAATACATATGTGAACTCTTTAATGTCAAATGTACTTTTGCACAATTATTATAACAGCACAATATTTCATTGTGTTTCATTACATCAGTGATGGAGAACCTTTTACGAGCTTTCACTGATACAAAGAGCCCACTGTGGAACACATGACAGTGGTTCACCACCACTGCATTATATTATTAATAAACTACAGTTGACATTTAAGTTGTATTGTTTTCCATGTTTATCTATAGCTTTTGTCTGTTTTAATTCTGAAATGTATTCTTAGGAAGTCTGGGCACGTTTATTACTTCTAACTTGGGTCTTCCCTTTACTTCCTGATCTTAACCAAAATCTGGAATGTACAGGTAGTCCCTCGATGTCCTAGGTGTCCACCTGATGAACCACTTGCTATCATGAAGCCAGAGATTGTCTTTTTTGGTGAAAATTTACCAGAACAGTTTCACAGAGCCATGAAGTATGACAAAGATGAAGTTGATCTCCTCATTGTTATTGGGTCTTCCCTGAAAGTGAGACCAGTAGCACTAATTCCAAGTAAGTCGAAGGTTTGGGGGGAACATTTCTGCATGTAATGCTATAGGTTGTGGATCTGCAGAACAGTTTCCAATTATCTTTATTCTTTCACGGTTTAGCAAAGTAGTGAAGAACTAAGCTTTATCTTTTAGGTAGTATTCACAAGATTGGTGAAAATGACTCTTGGGTATAGTGGGTAGATAGCTGTAGCTGTGTTAAGAAAAAGTAATGTTAAATTTTATTTCTAGTTTATAAGAAAAATGAAGATTAGGGTAGCAGTTAACTTTTTTATGTGGCAGTGGTTAATTTATATAAACTTAGGAAACTATTCCTTGTACCTCTAGCCTTTTTTCCCCCTATTTTTTTTTGCAGTCCTGTAGATTGAACCAGGGATCCATGCTCTCTCGTCCAATGAGCTACAACCCAGCCCTTTAAAATTTTTTTTATTTTATCTTGGTACCAGAGATCAAACTCAGGTCCTTGCACTTGCAAGGCAGGTGACAGAACCACTGACCCTTAAAAAATTTTGAGACAAGTTCTCACTGAATCCCCAGGCTGGCCTAAACTTGTAATTCTCCTTCAGCCTCAAGTAGCAGAGATTATAGGCATGTATCACCACACCTGGCTCATGTAGTTTTAGTTTTTTAATATCATATCTTTCAAATTTAATTTATTTCATATCTATTAAATACAGCTTGTTAGCTAGGAATGTGGCTCAGTGGCGCCACACCTGCCTTGCAAGCACAGGGTTGAGTTTGATTCCTAGTGCCAAAAAATAAAAAATGTGTGTGTGTGCACATATGCATTTGGCTTGTAGTGTAGTGTACTCATGTAAGATAGAAATTTGGGGACTCAAAATGACTAGTTCTTTTCTTGTAATCCTAAGTACCAGGCCATGTCATAGGACTGTTGTGTAGATCTGGATTATACAAACATGTTTTTGTGTATAAAAATGCTTTGCTTGGGGAAATTTCTTGATCATGATTTGTCAAAGGGAAACAATATTAGACTCTTGACCAGAGAATTCAGGCCTGATAGCTGGGCCTGGGAGCATAGGCCTGTTATCCCAGCATTCTGGCAAGCTGAAGGGAGGAAGATCCAAGTTAAATCCCAGTTTAGGTAACTTGTGAAACCCTGTCTCAGAATTGTAAAAAATGTGCAGAGGATGTAGCTCAGTGTAAAGGCCTGGGTTAATCCCAGTACCACTAAACAAAACCAGGCTAAAATCCTACCTCAGCAGTCACTGGTAGCCAGAATAAACAGTTGAAATTCTATTAAAGTCGAATACTGCATACACAGAAATGTAGTAAATAGGTACCTTTGAGCTTTCTTTTTGTTTGTGTGTGTGTATGTGTGTGGTGCAAGAGATTGAATCCAGGGCCTTACATATGCTAAGCAGGGGTCTGTGTTGCCTAGGCTGGTCTTGAGCTTCTAGGCTCAGGCATTCCTCCTGCCACAGCCTCTCAAATGCTGGGATTACAGTACATGGCACTGTACTAGTCTGTTTTACCTTAGAAGCATTCTGTATACTGGTTTACTGGTGAGAAGTAAAGATAATTTAATGAAAATGTGAGGTGAGTTTATAATACACATTTGTATGACTGTTCACCTTTGTATCGGGAGCTATTTCAGTGGAATAGTAATTTAACACCATTGCCAAGAACTCTCTTATGCATTTTAACATTAACTCATTTCATCTTCACCTCGCCCTTGTGGAAAAGTAACATCAGTGGCCCTGGTCTCTACAGAAAAGGAAATTGAGGTTCAGAGGTAGCCAGGTGACAGTACCACTGGAGTTGCTAAGCTGCTCATCTGCTTAGTAGGTAGCTTTGATGAGATGCAGTGACTTGGCTAATATCCATAGAGGTTTGTGTTTTTTGGTAATTGGAAGTCAGGTCCATGTTTTTTGTGATGGTGTGTTTGTGGTTTTATTAGCTTGCTTCCTTTCCTTTTTTCTAACTGTTTTTAACTTTATTTTCAGGTTCCATACCCCATGAAGTGCCTCAGATATTAATTAATCGAGAACCTCTGCCTCATCTGCATTTTGATGTAGAGCTTCTTGGAGACTGTGATGTCATAATTAACGAGTTGTGTCATAGGTTAGGTGGTGAATATGCTAAACTTTGTTGTAATCCTGTAAAGCTTTCAGAAATTACTGAGAAACCTCCACGAACACAGAAAGAGTTGGTTCATTTGTCAGAGTTGCCACCAACACCTCTTCATATTTCAGAAGACTCAAGCTCACCAGAAAGAACTTCACCTGATTCTTCAGTGATTGTCACACTTTTAGACCAAGCAACTAAAAGCAGTGTGGATGATTTAGATGTATCTGAATCCAGAGGCTACGCAGAAGAAAAAACACAGGAAGTACAGGCTTTTACTAGGAATGCTGAGAGTACTAATGTGGAAAATCCAGATTTGAAGGATGTTGGTTCCAATACTGCAGAGAAAAGTGGAAGAACTTCAGTTGCTGAAACAGTGAGAAAGTGTTGGCCCAATAATAGACTTGCAAAGGAGCAGATTAGTAAGCGGCTTGATGGTAAGAAATGCTGTTAAGCCATTTTTGAGAGTATAATCATTGTAACAAAATAGTTTTAAGAAATTAGTAGTTTGGGCAAGTTAATTACGGTGGCTTTTTTTTTGGATGGAGCTGGGAAGGGAACCCAGGACTTTGTGTACATTCGTCAAACTACTCCTGAGCTATATCCCCATTTGGGTAGTTATTTTAGTTGACATACAGGGAAAGGTAAATACATTCATATCTTATGTAATACAGGGAGGAAAGAAGAGTGCTTCCTTTTTAATGGTATTCTATGTTTTGTTTCTCTGGGGGATGGGAAGATGAGTACTAAATTGAGTTAGCGTTATTATTACACGCTCTGCCACTGTCTGATGAGAACTTCAGCTGGTAGAAATGACTAAGATTCAGGCGCTTGCTTTAGGTCAGGTGTTTTATATACATCTGATTTGATGTTATTGGTTATTGTTTTTTTGTGTTTTTTTTTAAGAGAGACAGGATCTTGCTATAGCCTTGAACTCACTATACCCCATGCTGGCTTTGAAATAAAAATGCATCTTATTTTAATCTCATGAGGTAGAAACTACTGTCAATTCTTTGGTCTAGGTGGGAAAATATCGCCATACAAATTAAGTACCCCATGGAAAGTAATAACTAGGAAGAACAGCCAGATTATATTTCAGGCCTATCTATCCTAAGACTGCTTTTTAACCCTTAGGTCATGTTGTCTACAAAACATCCAATTCTCCACTAAATATCTGTCTCAACACATGTAAAGTGTATATTTATTAGCATTAACTAACATAGGTGAAGTGTAATAACCTTTTTATTATTTATTTATTTATTTATTTTTGGTTTTTTGAGACAGGGTCTCACTGTATAGTTGAGACTGACCTGGAACTCACTATGTAGCCCAGGCTGGTCTCGAACTCAAAGCAATCCTCCTGCCTCATCCTCCCAAGTGCTGGGATTACAGGCGTGCACACCATGCCCAGCTGAAGGAACTTTTTAGAAATAGACGTTCAGGTCAAAATAGTGCTGTGGAGGAAATCCCAATTTAATCAATGGAAAAAACTATCCTCTTTAGGTCTAACAGTTTGATACATCTTTAGAACAGTCTCATTTACTTTATTTGGTGGATAGTATCGCATTTTAGATAGTGCTCCAGTCACTTGTAAGTAAATTTTAGTTTGGTTGAATAAGTTTTGGGCTGTTTTCTCTACAGCAGTGTGTACTATACTAAGTTCTGGAGATAAAATGACCAATCTACTCATGTTTGTGAATTATAAAAGTGGATGATAAATGTTCATTAGTACACACTGCTGAAGCACTTATTTGAACAAACACTGGTTTATTTGAACACTGCTGAAGTACTTACTTGAACAAACACCCAAAACATTGTATCCTGTGGTGCTGGGGATTCAACCTGTATGATAGACACGTGCTCTACTACTGCACCAAACATATCCCCAGCTCAGAACCTAACTTCTTAAAAATAAGGGATTTTTTTCCCAGGGGAAACAAAACAAAATTTTAAAAAGTGCTTATGTCTGTAAATGTGATGAGACAAAAGACAAATTGCTGCTGAGTTAGGCTATACCAAGTCTGCTTGTGTACTGTCAGACTTCTGTACTGGGAATTTTCCTTCAATATTTTCAATAGATTCATCAGACAGGCATGGTACCACTGAGCTACATCCCCACTCCCCACCTTACATTTCTAACAGACATTTCATCTGATTCACTCTTCTTTGGAGAGAGACAGGCAATTTTTCCTCCAGAAAACAGAGCAAGCCTGGAGCCATCTCTTTATGTTAAATTACTGGGTATTACAAGAGTCTTCAAAGGTAACAACTTTAGAATTGGACCTGCACAATCTCAACTCCATCTTGGGCTAAGTTATTTAATCTCTTTCCTAAACTGTAAAGAGGGAACCAGTGTGTCTTACGTAATTGTGAGAATTTAAAAAAGGGTAAGAGGAAATGGAAACATAAATTAAGTAAATTTTTAATTTAACTTGATGGTTGGTTGCCACGTAGAGGCAAAAACACAGAAAAGGTGGTATTGAGTACTTGCGCTGAGAAATAGTTTATTCATTTCTGTACTTTAGGGGAATCAGGGCAGGATAGCAACATTTTTAGAAGTACAGACCCAAACTAGAAACAAAAGTACATACAGGACAACCATGTGCTGAGGTCTCTCTAAAGATGAGTGGGTCAGAGGAAATGTCTCAGTTAGAAATGCAAGGTGGGGGGCCGGGGATTTAGCTCAGTGGTTCCAACTACCTCGCAAGCGCAAGGTCCCGAGTTTGATCCCCGGTACCAAGAAATGCAAGGTGGGGGCTGGAGATGTAGCTCAATGGCACCATGCTTGTCTGGCAAGTGCAAGGTCCTGAGTTTGATCCCCAGTACTGGGGGCAAAAAAGAAATGTAAGGTGGGAACTATTAGCAGGAAATATACAGTAAATACTTCCTTATGCAAATCAACACCCCCCCCCCACAAGGTTTTGCCGTATAGTCCAGGCTTGCCTTGAACTCTCTATGTAGCCTCGGCAGGCCTCAAAAATCAAGGCAGTTTTCCTGCCTCAGCCTTATGAGTACTGGGATTACAGGTCTGTGCCACCAAGCCCAGCTTAATACCAGTGTTGTAGAAAACTAAATACTGTGTATTTCTGTGTAATTTGTAGTGCATTATGTTTTGTGGATTCAGATTTGAATTGGCACATATGAGGTTGAACCCTGAGAGAGCCACTTCGCAGAGCAACTTGGCAGTTTCTGTAGTGATACCACATGTGCCAGTGTGGTAATCAAGCTTTTGTGGTTGCGTCTGGGGTATGCACAAAGGCAGAACTTTGAGGGATCTTTCCCTTTTAGCTAAAAAGGGGTGCAACAAATATTACTAAGGTGGGATTGAATTGGTATGCTACAGACTAGAAGAGTTCTTGACCTATGGTTCTTGTAGGTTAACTTACATAGTAAATGTAAATTTGGGAAGATGTAGGGGAAGAAAGTTTAAAGATAATTGCTAGACCTGCATCTCAAAGTGCTAAGTATAGGATTCACAAGGATACAGTTCTGAAGCTGGGGGTAGAGCTCATTTGTAGAGCATGTATTTATTACTAGCATACATGAAGCGCTGATTTCTGATTCAGTAGGTGGATGATGCCAGTATCCACAGACTACTTAAAATACGGGTGAAGATACTGACAAATATTTTTTTAAGTTTATAGTAGACACTAAATAGTTAAAATATTCATTGAAAGACTTTGAAAGCATATGTGCTTTAGAGACATTCTATTTAACGAACCTGAATTAGATATCTACTATAGGCTGAGGTGAATACTTCATCAAATCTCTAAAAAGGTGTGATGGAACCTTTGCAGAATGTGGTTGGTTCTCCACATTTTTTTCCTACTTAAGAGTTGTTAAATGTCAGGTGTGGTGATCCTAGTACTAGGAGGCAGAGGCAGGAGGATCATCACTGCAGGTTCAAGGCCAGCCTGTGTCACATAGTGAGTTCAAAGCCAACATTACATAGCGAGACACTATCTTAAAAAAAAAAAATTTTTTTAATTTTCATTCACAGTGACACCTTTATAGTGTATTTACAAAGCTAGTGTCAAATAAGCTTTGCATGTGGGACTAATTCAGCTTTAAAAAAAAAAGACCACTAGTAGTAGTCTCCAGTAGTGATATTTACAAAAAGGCAGAGCTGGAACATGTAGCTGATTCCAAAGGGCCCAATCACAGTGACAAAACTGAAAGTACTATTTATTACTGTATTTCAGGTAATCAATATCTCTTTTTACCACCGAATCGTTACATTTTCCATGGCGCGGAGGTGTATTCAGACTCTGAAGATGATGTATTGTCCTCTAGTTCTTGTGGCAGTAACAGTGATAGTGGCACATGCCAGAGTCCAAGTTTGGAAGAGCCCCTGGAGGATGAAAGTGAGATTGAAGAGTTCTACAATGGCTTGGAGGATGATCCTGATGCTCCAGAGATTGCTGGAGGAACTGAATTTGGAGCTGATGGAGGTGATCAAGAAGCAGTTAATGAAGCTATATCCATGAAACAGGAAGTAACAGATATGAACTATCCATCGAACAAATCATAATGGAATGTCCAGGTACAGGAATTGTTTCACCAGCATTAGGAACTTTAGCATGTCAAAATGAATGTTTACTTGTGAACTCAATAGAGCAAGGATACCAGAAAGGTGTAATATTTATAGACTGGTAAAATACTTTTTTTCATGGATAGTTTTTTAACTTCCATTATTTCTGTACTTGTACACTCAACACTAACTTTTTTTTTTAAAAAAAGAAAGGTACTAAGTATCTTTAATCAGCTGTTGGTCAAGATTTTAATTTTCTTTAAAGGTTCATTGTATCATCCATAATATGTATATATGATTGTTTTTGCTTAGTGAGTTTCAACATTTTAAAGTTTTTAAAAAGCCATTGGAATGTTAAATTAATGTAAAGGGAACAGCTTATCTAGACCAAAGAATGGTATTTTCACTTTTCTTTGTTTGAATGGTTTGAAGTCCTCAAAATCTCTGTTATTCTTTAACACAATTACCTATTTTTAAACACTGGCATTTTCCAAAAACCTTGTGGCAGCTAACTTTTTAAAAATCACAAACAATGACATGCAATGTGAGTAGAAGGAAGTCAACAATATATGGGAAAGCACTCAGTTGTCTTTACTTTTTTAAAGTAAGACTTGGTGCTAAGAGTTTCAAGGAGTATTGTATTTATTGTTCAAATGAAGATGGCTTTTGTACTTCCTGCAGACATGCAGCAGTTAATGTCTGTTATCAGCTCATAAAACTAAACTGAAAAATAAATGCTTTGGAGATGTCTCAGTTGCTTTAGAAACAATAGTGCCTGCCTGTATCCCCTTAGTTTTGAAATATTTGCCATTGTTTACCTACCTATCACTGTGGTAGAGCTTTCATCGATCTTTTCCCACAAGTATTAAACTGCCAAGATGTGAATATGCAAATTCTTTCTGAATCTGTAATAATGGTACTATTAGTGAGAAGAGTGTAATATTTTGGACTGTTGTTCTTCCATTAGTGGAGAGCAACAGGCCCAATTACAGTTTCAAAGTAAAAAGATGTTAATTATTACTCAGACAGAAAGTACATGTCTCCTGTTGGGAGGATTTGGTGTAATGAATACCAAACTGTTAGTCTAGTATTATGGAGATGAACATGATATAACCTGTAATAGCAGAATAGTTAATGAAACTAGTTCTTATAATGTACCTTTATTAAAAGCTTAGGCTGCCTTAAAACTAGAGATCATCTTTCTCAACTGCAGAAGCTTCTAGTGTTTCAAAAAAGTTCATACTTTATAAAACTGCAGTAAACATTTATTTTCCAGGCTTTTTTTGACATTACTCCCAAATTAAAGTATTCCTATGTTGGTTTAGTATTTATTCAATAAAAAGGGTTTGAAGTATAGCTGTTCTTTATGCATAAAATATTCAGCTAGACCATTACTGCCAGCGAAGAAAATTTTGTATGGCCATTTCTCTACCTAAAAGATGTCTCAATTTGAATTTGGCTACACTAAAGGATGCAGCATATTTTTAGTTTTCCATTTGCATGATGTGTTTGTGCTATAGATGATATTTTAAATTGAAAAATTTGTTTTAAATTATTTTTACAGTGAAGACTGTTTTCAGCTCTTTTTATATTGTATATAGTCTTTTATGTAATCTACTGGCCATATGTTTTGTAGACTGTTTAATGACTGGATATCTTCCTCCAACTTTTGAAATACAAAACCAGTGTTTTATACTTGTACACTGTTTTAAAGTCTATTAAAGTTGTCATTTGACTTTTTCTGTTACTTTAAGTTACAAAACTTAAATCTTGTAGAATATATGCAACTTTGAGGGTTGTATGAGATGCAACCTTTTTGTACTACGTTTCTTCACTCCATTTATAACAGTCTTAACTGGCTAGTGCACACAACTGTCAGTGCTGGGCATATCACCAAATGTTTCGGAAGTTAATATTTCAACTATTCTGAGGCTGGAGGCCTTTGCAGGTAAATATGGGAAGAAAGGAGCAGGGACTTGAAAAGCCTAAGCTGGGCCTGGTGGTACATGGCTGTAATCCTACTTCCTTGGGAAGATAATGAGTTAAGCCCTATTGGTCTTTTAAAAAAGACCCAGTTTAACTGAAAATCTGAGTTGGACTACAAATGTGCTAATTCTGCCTTCCTCCATTATCAACTTTTTGAGGTTGACCTCAGAATTTGGTTTTCTAAAGCTTTTAAGACAAAGTTTCCTCCTCTCAGCCAACTCTAGGTGGATTTAAACACTGGCCTATTGCTGTTGGCACTAGAGAAATTACGTATAAAATCCTACACAGTACAGTGGTCCCTCAGTTCATGAACTTAATTTATGAATTCGGGGAAGATAGCTGCACTTGTATTTGTTTTTCTTGTTATTTTTGGTACCAGGAATAGAACTCGGGTCCTTGTGCTTGCAAGGCAGGCACTGAGCTAAATTCCTGGCCCCTGCATTTTTATTTGTGTGGGGAAGATGTTTGTCACTGGAGCCTAGGGTTTGTGAGTGGAATGGAAGAATTCTGTCACTTGTTTTTTGAGAAGTGAACTGTTTCCAAACAAATATTCATGAACTCTTGAGGTGTTACAGTATTCAGATGTGTCACAAGAAACAGTGACATTCTGTATGTACACAAATTGGGAGATAGAAATTCACAGGTATTACTTGTACTGGCCAAACCTACCTCCAAGCCTTTTTCTGACACCTTGTTAGGGTAACCTCTACTTCTCAGTGATAATGATATGCTAATTTAATGGCATATGATGGTTTGATTAGGATTTTTTTTTTCTCAGTGCTATATAAAACAATGGTGCAACTTCAGGCAATGGTATTTTGTATTATTACCAAGTAAGTTTTATTTCATAACGCTTATTATTTTTCTCAAGATAGCCCAGTAATTGAACTCATGATCCTTTTGCCTCCGTCTTGCTCCCACATATTTGGCTTGTTAAATTTTGTTTCAAAGCCTCACCTCCTAACCCTGCAACCTAGAAGCAGGGTAGGTGTGGGGGCTCTGCAGCTAATGGATGGACCTTTACCTAAATAATCCACTGTGACCCATTAAACTATGGAGAACAGGCCCAATGACCTCACCTCTCCTTGGAGTGGCTGTCAAATGGGGGCTGTATTAAAAATCATCTGTGAAAATATATGTATAGCGGGAGCCTTACCTCTTAGGAATAGAGATTTAGATTTTAAAAGTACCCCCAAGTGTTCCAAAAAAGCCAGATTTGAAAAATACAGTTCTCTGAAATAAGAATTCTCTCATGGTTTTAAACATTCTTTCCAAGGCCAATGTTAAAAAAAGGTAAATTTACATAAGCAGCCTGTGGACTCAGTTTATCTTCAGAAATACTTTATCAATTCAGTAATTTGGGCATTCAAGGAAATACGGGGAAGAACAGGGAGGAAAGTGCAAAAGAACCTTGGAGTGTGATGAGAACAGGAAATATCTATCTGCCCTTCCCTTCAGAGTTTACATGTGCCCCCCCCTTTCCTTATTGAGTTTACTGGTACATCTTAGGGATACAGTACAGTTACATTCATCATTGGGATCTTGTACCTTTACATGACAAAAATACGGGGAAACAGGGAGGAAAGTGCAAAAGAACCTTGGAGTGTGATGAGAACAGGAAATATCTATCTGCCCTTCCCTTCAGAGTTTACATGTGCCCCCCCCTTTCCTTATTGAGTTTACTGGTACATCTTAGGGATACACAACAGTTACATTCATCATTGGGATCTTGTACCTTTACATGACAGGTCTTGGTTCTTACACGTGCCCTTTGTGGAAGGACTGCCCCAAGCATAATTTGTTAGTAAAAACTGACCCTTTTAATGAACTTTGTGAGAAGACTACCACACAAATATTTGTCTCTTACAGCCTTGTAGATAACATTTTCTCTAATATAGTCAGTGGTATAACTTGGCAAACTCATTATCTGTCTACTTGATACTGTGATTTATAAGTCACAAGAGGTCTTGAGAAGAATTGAACACAAGGCCTCTTCCCTGAGTTATGCTCCCCTCCCTTTAACTTTTTATTACATTGAGACAGGTGTTTTTTTGGTTTGGGGTTTTTTTCAGACAAGGTCTCAGTATGTAGTTCAGGCTAGCCTTGAAGCCCAGGCTATGGTGATCCTCTTACCTGAGCCTCCTGAGTGCTAGGATTACAGGATGTGCGACCATGCCAGGCTGAGACAGTCTTTTTTCTCCTTTGGTCCTTTGAACTCAGGACCTTGTGCTTGGGAGGCAGGCACATTGCCACCGAGCTAAATCTGCCTGGCCCTGGGCAGAGACAGTCTTGATAAACTACCCAGGCCAAGCTTGAACCTGGAATTTCTCTTTTCTTTTTTTTGGTATTGGGGGTCAAACTTGGGACCTTGAGTTTGAGAAGCAAGGTGGCAGAACCACTGAGCTATAAATCCCCAATCCGAACTTAAATTTTTATGTCTCTGCCCTCCAGAGTGCTGGGTTTACAGGTGTGTATTACCATGCCCAGCAAGAGATTTTTTTTCCATTTGAAAAACCTCTAGGTAGTTCTTTTTCTACCATGAATCTTGCTGTTACTATTGCTGTATTACAGTCCGCAATAACTGAGGAGGAAGACTTATCACTTACCCAAATTAAGCTTTGTATGGCTGTGCTCCCAGGTAAGATGCTGTCTTCATCAAAATACCCGGTTGTGGAGCTCTGTAGTAGTCCAGAGTGGCTGCTGCTTCACAGGTGAGCCTCGTAGCATACAAAGTCACTAATGAAAAAATAAGCACCTGACACGTAATATATGTTTATTTGAATAATGACCACCCTCAAGGAATGGATGGGTGCACAGGGAAATGGTATAGTGCTACCCTGCATGAGAATGTTGTTTTAGTGCTTTATCTGTAAAAGATACCTACGGCTCATTAGTAGTAGTATTTAAGCGGAAGTACAGAAAAGTACAGATCCCACTATCCCTTACTTATGCTATTTTTAAAGCACATATGTGGCACTCCATAGGGTCACAGTCCCATTTAGTGAATACTACAGATACCTCAATTATTCAGATCAGGTTTTGCTGGAATGAGATATGGAAGAAATTTTCAGTTTTTCTTGGATTTAGAATTTTCTTGGAATTCAGGTGAGATTGGACCTCAAATTCATGTGGGAATGGGAACTCAATCCACTTTTCATGAGACAGCCCCCTTTTTGAAGAATTTTGAATCTTATATGAGGACCACTGAAAGTTTAAATATTAAACCAATAAATCTTTATTATTTAAACAGTTTTCACGGCATAGTTTTATAAATTTAAAAAATAAATATTTCCATTATAGCAGAAAGTCACATATATCGCATCAACTCACTTTTACAATTTAATGACATGAGAACTAAGCATCAGCACCATAAAACTGTTAAAATTTGTTTCTGAAAAATTCAAGGATATAGTTCTAAAGCACTAAAATTGACTAAACTGCAGTATCAATAAGTTCTGGAAGCTATCATTCAGTGATTGGTTCTATAGTAGCCAGTGTTTCTGTTTCTGGCAATGAGTATCAGTAAGCTCTCTGATAACCTATTAGCATCTCATGGTTCACAAGCGAGGAAAGAACTACAAGTTATTTAATGTATTCCTATCTGTAATTTAGGTTTGCACAGACATTTATTCTAGCAAAAAAAGAGGGCAAGGTTGGTTCTACCATGCTTTTCTTCCCTTTTAATAGAAGCTCAGAGTAAGATTAAACCATTATTTTTAATCTTTAAAAGCTCAGTTCAATTATAACCATGGAAACTGTACTGGTATCAGAACATAACTATTTTATTACAAAACTTAACATTATTTACAAAATGGAAAAATAATCAACTTCCCTTTTAATAGAAGCTCAGAGTAAGATTAAACCATTATTTTTAATCTTTAAAAGTCAGCTCAGTTCAATTATAACCATGGAAACTGTACTGGTATCAGAACATAACTATTTTATTACAAAACTTAACATTATTTACAAAATGGAAAAATAATCAAATGACTATTCCAGGCCGAAGTTAAAGGTTTTCACCCAGTAATTGAAAAATAACATTTCCATGCACTCACACATCAGATCATTTCTGAGATATTCAAATTCTTAAAGCTTGTTAGTAAAAGTAATGTATTCACAACAATATACTTACGAAGATGGGAAAGAAACTCATGGTTCTGTACAATAAACTTAAGTTTGTTCATTTAATATATTTTTGGCTTTCATGAATACTCATAGCATTGAACATTTTGCAAGTAAGAATCATAATAGTACCTCTGACACTGCTGAATTCATCACCACAAGAAAAACACAGATAATTTTAATGTTTTTGCACTGAACCAAATAGTTATGATTCCAAAGTTATATTAAACTGAAGCCTTCATTGTGATCAATAGCTTGGATCAGTTTAGAGCGTAGAGTTTCTTTTTCTGTATATTTTGGAAGATCAAGAAGATTAAAACAGGTATGAGAAACTGGGAGATATTCCTCACCGCCTCCTGTCGGCTGGATGACTAGTTTCAGACTCTTCATACCAAGAATAGGAATGCGATCACTACCTGTCAAAAATACTGCCAAGAAAAACATATTTGATCAACAAATCGAGTAGCAAATGGTACATATTTAGTAGCCACAGCACAGCTCTACACTAACATCTGCACTAAGGCGGAAGCCTACCACCACTTTTCCCTTTAAATGTGTGATCATATTGGCATACGTGAGACACTCAATTTTTTGGGGGGGGTGGTTTGAGACAGGGTCTCAATATGTAGTTGAGACTGACCTGGAGCTCACTATGTAGCCCAGGCTGGTCTGAGTGCTGGGATTACAGGCGTGTGCCACCATGCCTGGCAATAAATATTTGATGAACGAATTGACTGTTGTTGCTGTCAAAATATTTTGGGGTCCCTTTTTTGGGAGAAGCCATTTAGAATTAATTGATAAATCAAATACAACATTGAGTTTTTTAGAAAAGAATTTAAGACTCAAAAAGATTGCCAAGGATATTCTTGGCAACTGCAGTCATATAAATGAAATGTCACTGATTAAATTCTTTTTTTTTTTTTTTTGGTACTGGAGATTGAACTCAGGT